AAGGTCTTAAGAGAGACAGTGTCTAATTACATGACTATTTATCGTGATTTGTACATTTTGTGCTTCCTTGAGGATCCGGGATCACAGGCTTTTATTTTATCTCCTGCACAATTCTTATATTTTTCAGAATATGACTGTTTGTTCACAAGCAACTCCTTATGCTCTTAAGACTTTCCGATTCCGCTCATTCCAGTTTCCTGGAACATTTCTTTCACCATTCTACCCAGTCGAATTGCTAATTTATAGGATTGCTAAACATGGAAATGTAGATCTGATCCCCAATTTTCAATCAGATGCATCCCTATGCTCTTTGTCGTACACTGGAGCTTGCAAATATAGTTTTTTGTTGCTGAAAAATCAGGCAGTTACAATCTTTCAAGGCTGTTTGACCAGCGCCTACCTTCTTATTAAAAACTTTACCTATGCCAAGTCTGCTAAAAGCAATGTACCCTAAAGTCATTTTAATATTCCTCGCTAGCAGGGTTTACAATCGTATGTTTGCAAACAATGGATTAATCGAGATCGTGAAGACTATTATTGTGTAGCCTCTGTATGATCACGGTCGGTCTCCTTTCGATGTATTGAAGCAGTTTGCCTAGTCTTCGCAGCTTGATCGTATTGTCAGTGAAGCCGGACCGTAGACTTGGTACATTCCACTGCGTTCCGCCAGCATCATAGTTGGTATAGTCATTGAGTCTTGCTATTCTTGGCGCGACATTGCAACTTGACTCTGGCGGGTTTTAGTGTTGTGCTAAAAGCCGCAACGCTCACTGACAATGCCGGATAAACTTCTGGGAATTCACGAAGTATATGGTCCTAAGCTGGAAATTATCATTGATTTTATAGCAAAGGACTTCGGACAGTGTCTAAATCTGACTATAGGATCAGATTGCTAAAATAATCTCAAATGACTTATAACTATTGAATTCTTCTTCTGATTTATCTTTATTTTCATCTAGGTAGAGTTCTCACTGGATGATTTTCAACAACTCCAGAGCATTAACGATCAGAAGTCACGGAAGGTCCGGGATCTGATAAATAAGCGGCATGACAAGAAATTGCTTAGCTATGGGATAATAGGACAGAGCAATACCAAGCCAACCTGGGCAAATTTTGATCATTCTGTATTGAAGGCATCAACTGCTACAGACGATGATAAAACGAAGCTAGTAAACCTATATTCAATCCCTCTTGATTATGAAACTTCGGATCTCTTAAAGAAGGGGTTAAATTTTTCCCTAGGTAACGAAGGAAACGCTCTTAAGGATATTCTGGTGGAAGTTGTCAACAAAACGGATAAATATCCAGAAGCGACAAGGCGGGAGATGGAAGTGGAAATAATCCCACGGATCCTGACACATTAAGAACCGATACACAGGAGCAAATTGGTTGGTATACGGAAAAAAATACAGAAGAATGATCAAATAGTTGTTCAGGCGGATAAGGAAGGAGCGACAGTTGTAATGGACAAGAAACAGTACACGGAGAAAATGAAAAGTATCCTTGGCGATCGGAACACTTATCAAATATTAAGGAAGGATCCAATCACGAAGATCAACGGGGCACTGAAGAATATGCTTAAGGAAATGCACAATAATGGGGAACTTGAGATATGGATGATGAAATCTTTAATCAAAAATGGCGCAAGACCACCGGCAACCTACGGACTATCGACGATACACAAGGAAGGAAATCCGCTAAGACTAATGTCAACAACAAGCATGGAGCAATACACGAACTAGCGAAATTCATTTGCCTGAAGCTCAAGAAAGTATATGACATACTCTCGAATACTGTCAAGAATTCATATACATTTTCTCAT